CGCGGTGAGGCTCAGGGAGAAGTGAAAGCGCAGTTTTACCCAAAGGAATCTGCAGTGGTAAGGGGGGTGGGTCAGACTGAATCCGTGGTCTGGCGACAGTGGGGTCACTGAGCTCCTGCGCTCAGTGGCTCCACCCGCAGCCAAAGTCCACCTTCTGCGCGCAGGATCAGCTCCGGCGACCTGCGTGGCTCCTCTTTATCCGGCAGGACGCGGAAGCGCAGCAGCGTGAGCGCTAGGACCACCTTCATCTCAGTCATGGCAAACGACTGCCCGATGCAGTTCCTGCAGGCAGGAGTCAGGGCTCTAGCTGTGCCCGGCACCCTCGTCCTGGCCCCATCGCGCCAGGAATCTGGCCCACAACCCACAACCCCACCCACAGGAGAAGAGAAGGAGGCTAACCGTGCCTCGGTTAGCTGTGGGACCCCCATGTGGACTTGCATATCCTAACCCAGACTCCAGTCCTGAACTTAGACCAGCAGATGGGAATGGGGTTCTCAACAGACCACGGACCCTTCCTTCGACCCACTCCCCCATTCCCCAGACCCTTACCCATACCCTTGAGGGGAGGGGAGGGAAGGAGAGCCCCAATTCTGACCATCTACAATTTTCCCCCTTCTCTGCCCCCACAGTCATGCCTGCCATCTCAGTCCCAGACCCCCTCGCCTCCATCACCCCATCCCCTCTTCAGATGCCCACTGCCTTCACCTGGGCCCCGCCGAGAAGGGAATAAAAGCCAAAGGTGACCTCCCCTTGATGTTTTCCGGGTCGAAACGAAAGGGATCATAAACCTAGGAGCAAGGACAAGACAATGCTAATGGGTGGGATCTCCCAGGACATCTGGCCCTGGAGAGGCAGGTATGTGTAGAATGGGGGGAGATGATGTCTGATTTGCCAAGCCTGGGCCCTGTGCCTTCCCCTGGGTCCCACTAGGGGAGTGGACAAGGATGAGGGAGGTGGGGGGTGGAGGAGGCAGCACCTCAGGGTCTGGCCACACGGTTGGGTTGTGGTGGATCCCGAAAATACTGATGAGGCAGATAACACCTGTAGGTGAGGAGGGAACAGTCAGGACTATGTTCTCCACACCTGATTGGCCCCTCCTGAGCAAGAACCTCCTCCCCTAATCATTGTGGTAACCTTTGGGGATGACCCGACCATCTGGGAGTGCAATGTCCTGGGTACAGCGACGAGAGACGGTCGGGACTGGAGGATGCAACCGCAGACTCTCCTTGATGCACATAGTCAGGAAAGGCAACTGGGTCAGGTCGTCCCTAAGGAACCCCCATGAAAATTATCCAGGGAGCAAAAACAGAGACCCCACCCCCCAGCCTTCCCGATGCCTTGTAAGATCCTCTCTCCCCATAACAAAATCACAGATGGATCTACTATCTTCAAACTCATTAAGTCACATATAAATGTACATTTTTTGGTCCATCATACTTTAATAAAATGTTTTCAAAAAAAGAAAGACAAGTGATATTACAGAAGCACCAGACAAAATTTAGCCACATATTTTAGAAGTTTTTCTGAGCAAAACACAACACTCAAAAGCCAACCATGAAAACGTTTACAAATTTTTATGAAAATAAAATATTCTTTTTGGGAAGAAAGCAAAATCAAGAGGCAAACGACCAAGGAAAAAAAAGAAATAGATTCAATGTTTATTCTTATGTATTACAGCACTAGAGATACTAGCTAATGCAATTAGACAGGGGAAAAAAGGAGAGTAATGCCATTTGAAATGGGGGGGGTAAATGTATCATTTTTGACAGATAGTAATTTTATACTTAGAAAATAAGAGAATTCACTGGAAAACTTTGATGACCACTGAAGATAAAATCTAGTACGGGGCCTGGATTCTTTTTCTTTAATCTCCTTCTCTTTGTATACTGATTAAAATTCTTAAGAACTGATACAGTTAAGTAGTTCAAAATTGGAAAAATATAAAACTCCACCCCTATGGCCCAACAGCACTCATTTCCCCTCCTCACAGTCTGCCTGGTGATTATTTTTTATTATCTTTCCAGAGGTACTTTTTTGTGTTAAAAAAAATTATACATTGTAAACATTGTACCTTTATTTATCACCCCTTTAACACTCTCCCTTCCCATCCCTAGGCAAATGCTAATGTACCCTCTGTTTTTATACATTTGTCTATTCTAAATATTGCTAAATATAAATACAATCATATAATATATTTTTTAAATGATATGGTAGCATACTATATACTATACACACTGCTTTATCTTTTTCATGTAATAGTATATCAAACTCTTCTTGTACATCTCCTGGGACTTGTGTCAAGAAAAGGGCCTTCCCTACTCTGGAGCCATAAAATAATGTCCTATGGTCACCTCCAGAGACTTTAACACTCCTTTATTTTTTATTTTAAATATGTGATTCATGTGGGTGTTATTTTCTTATAAGACATGAGAAGCAGGTTGAATGAACTTTTTTCCATGTAGCTCCCCAGTTGTTCCAAGAGCTTTTAGTAAATGGTCTTTATTTTTCCTATTGATATGAGACTCCATATTTAGCACTAACCATATGCACTCGGCAAGAAATTTATATCCATAAATTATTATTTCCCAAAACTCATATTTTAAGAGGTAAAGATCTCAAATATATTTTAATATGCAGACCTTAACTCTTAATAGGGAGGGGAGTGAGAGAGAGACCACATATAAGGGATTAAGAAAGGAGTCCATCTTTATTATAAGCATTTTGGTACTTTTTTTAACCAAGTGCAAAATTTTGTTTGAAGTCCTGGTTTAAAAAGAGTGAAAATGTTTCTCCACCTCACGGGACTGCTGTGATGAGCAAAGGCTTGGAGTGGAGGACACTACCTCCAAAATACCTGTCCAGTCCAAAGCCTCCTCACCGTCCTCCAGCCCCTGGACTGCCTCAGGTCTCAAAATCTCCTCCCCGGGCCCCCATTCCATAGCTTGTCCTCTCCGGTATGTCCACCACACTAGTGCTAGAAAGATCTCTCCGGTAGCCAGATCTCTCCTGTCCTCCTGCTCAAACACTGCTCTTGCTTCCCCTTTGGCCTTGGGTTTAAATTGAAGCTACTGACATTGTTTTCAGAGTCTTCCACAACCGACCACTGCTGCCATCTATCTTCCAGCCTCGTCATCTCACCAAGAGTCAGCCTCTCCCTCCTTCCCTCCATCCTTCCTCCTTCCTCCTTCTGTCCCTTTCTCTCTCCCTCTATCTCTGTCCTTTCCTCTCCCCTTCTCTCTCCATTCTCTCTCTCATCCCCGTTTCTCTCTAACCTCTTCTCCTCTTCTGTCTCTCTCTTGCCTTCCTCCACCTCTTCATTTTTTGCCCAGCTGTTTTTTTCACCTAACTGCACATCAACTGCACCAAAATATCTATTGGTTATTTTTCAACGTCCCACCTGAGGCACTTTTGTCCACCCTCTATGTCACCTCTCTTACTCTCAACCCCATCCTTGCCCTTGTGGACTGGGAGTGTCTGGAACTTGGACTATTCCTCCACCAGGCTGGGAGCTCCTAGAAGGCAAAGGCTGGGTCTAGGTCCTTTCTGAGTCTCCAGGGCACAGAAAGGAGCTGAGAAGAATTGGAGATGGCATAGAATTGGGGATGAGGAAGCAATGTGGCAGTGTTTACTGAATGGGGACTGGATGGATGAAGCTGCAGGTGTTCCTGGGCTAGAGTTGAATGCCTTTAATCCCCAGCTGTTCCCTGTGAATCCTGGACTAAATAACATGAGGAATTAGGGGGCAGGAGATGAGAAAACACTTAGGGAGTGAAGATGTTTAAAAACGTGTGATTTCAGAAAGCAAAGTAAGGCAGTGGAAGGAAGTTGCTTTTCTGAATATGGGCTACGTGGCATCATCTGCCTTCACACATTGTCACTAATTCTCTCAGAAGTTCAAGTCTTTCTGTCCCAAACCCTGCAAACTTTCCCCTGCTATGCATGCTGGTACCAGACCCTGCCTCTGGGCTCTGCTCTTATTCCCACTAAGCAATAATGACAGAATCAACAAAAAGATTTTCCCTCTTCCCCAATCGGGGAGCAGAGCCCATGAGTGGCTCAGAAAAAGTCCATGAGGACTTGCACTCACCATTCAATCTCTTTAGGCTCACGATCCTTCAGGAGTTCTTTCACCTCCTGCCGGCAGCGCTCCTGGTATTTAGGGTGCTTTGCAAGGTTGTAGAGGACCCAGGAGAGGCCACTGGCTGTGGTGTCATGGCCTGAGGAGTAGCCAGACAGGCTTGGGTCTCTCGACTAATTCAGCACCAGAGGATGGACAGCAGCCTTACATTAAGGCCCATGGGGACTATGGGGAGGGATGGGGTGGTCCAGGGTCCACCCACCAAACCCCTGGGATGGAGAGACCCCTGCCCCTTCTGTAGTCCCACACTGGGACCCTCACCCTCAAACATGAAGGTGTCAGCTTCAGCTCGGATATCTTCGTCTGACAACCCCTTCCCATCTTCATCCTGGAGAGAAAGCAAAATCCCCAGACTCACACTAGCTCTGAGGGTCCCTGCATCTCAACTGAGCCATTCTCTGAAGCACCAACATCCACCCAGAAACCCAAGTCCACCCTGAACTCCTAGACCTCCCTTGCTCACTATCACTAGAGGCCCCACCCCCAGGCCTCTCCCTTGGCCTTCTTGCCTCCTGAATTGTCCCTAGTGAACAAAATCAATGATCCATAAATATGTTCGTATTTCTACAGGATGAGGGATTTCTGAGGAAAAACGTTACTCGCCACCTGGATTACAGGATGATTGAATAGTAACTTGCCTTAAAGGCTAGAGATTGAACATTGCCCCAAAGCCACATGTTAAGATAGTAAATCCAGAGATTCCCTATCTGTCCTGGAGATAAGGAATGCGTTATAAACCTGCAGAACCTATAAACTTTGCTTTCTCACTGAAGAGGATTTGTTTAAGCCCTAGAACCATGACTCTCTCTCTCTCTTTCTCTCTCTCTCTTTCTCCATCTCATCTATCTCTTTCTGTCCTTCTCCTTCCCCTCCCCAGGAAAGAAGGGGCAGATGTATCAGCTGTCCTACATAAGTTCCAAAATTCAAATTTGGAGGTACTTCTCCTGTGGTGCAAGCATGGCTGCAGGTACAGGTGAAAGCACCATGGAGCCCTCAGAGCAGTCTGGGAATGGGGAATGGGAGCCACCATTCTACTCTGGCTACTGTTACTGCTGTGAGTAATAAATGGGCTGCTCTGAGCCAGGGTTTTATATCTACACACAGACACACACACAGAATCTACCTCCGTGGTAGATTAACTTAATAACTTGGAAGTAGAGCAAAATCTCAGGCCCTTTGCAGCTTCAGCCATAGTAATCCCCTGCAGGCTGCATTCCACACAGTCATCTCTAAACCTTATCCCTAACCCATGCCTCTCTTCCTGAAGTACCTTCCATGGCTGCCCAGTACCCTCTGCATCAAGTCCAAGCACTTTGAACAAACCAAGGTTCATTCTACTTCTTGAACTCAGAAACCAGTGCAGCCTACCTTGGTCAGCAGGAGCACATCAATGAAGTCCAAAGTCTTGGTTTTAGCCTTCGCCTTGAGGAAGTCATCAGCACCCTGATCGGGGAGGGTGCGGCGCCGCTCCCGGATGACTGCATCTGTGAAGTCGTGTACCTGGCGGCAGGCCCTGCGGAAGCGCTGCCCATCGTGGGTGAGGTAGTACACGAAGTCCGTGTACTGGAAGAGCTGCTGGTGCCGTTTTGCCACAAGGGCACTGAGCTCCAGGATGGCAGCAATATATCCACTGGGCTTCCTGCAGGATGAGAGCACGAAGGGAGGCAACAACTTAAAACACCTGAAGCCCGGGAGTCAGGCGTTATCTCCATCAGGACACCGAGTCTCCAATAACAGATGGTGCATAGATAGAGTGGGGAGGAGTCAGGGGATGTGACTCTCCAGACTCTCGTCTCCCTACATCCCATCTCTGTGAGCTGCCTGCCTGCCCCAGGCACCCAGAGCACAGCTTAGATACCACGCTTCTCTCCTCACTCTCTTATCCACTATCTGTGCCCCCTCCTTCCCAGAAGTGTCAGCACAGCTCAGACCTTATCCTCTTCCAACTGGCCAATGGGCCTAGCCCCTCTCCTAGTCTCCTTACATCCATTGTCAATACCATCCAGTGTCTACATGATAGTTGGTCTTCTCTCGAGTCAGAGCTCACATTTGACCACAATGTTCATCTGCACAATACCATCCATGGCTCCCTGGAAACTTCAGGATAAAGTTCATGTCCTCTTTGTCTGGAACTCCTCAAACCTCACATCCAAGTTGTCTCCTCACTGTTGCACACACATTGCTCATCCTAGCCTCCTGGCCTTTATCAAACATTTCTATGTACCTGAAAGGATCGCTCCTTGTCTTTCCTCTCCCTGTCTCTCTATGTCCAGCTCTGACCCACCTCCTCCAGGAAGGCCCTTCTGATTACCCTGGTTAGTCCTCCCTACCCCATCTACTCCCTTGAGTCAATGGCTCATTTTCCCGGACCCTGGGTCAAGACTCACTCTTGGCAATTGCTGTCGAAGCTGAAGACGCATTTCTGAAGATTGTCTAGGGTCATGAGACTGATGTGTTCAAACATGTCCAGACGGGTGTGGCCCTCTGTGACCAGGCGCTGCCACTTGGCCTGGACAGAAAACAGGACAGAGCTGGGGCTGGGAACTACCTCCCTTGAGCCTCCCCAACCCCAACCACCAAGATGGGCACCCGAGACCCTGCCTCCTGGCCCTAGGCACCTATCCCCAGGGAAGTCCAGGCTTAGGTGGGAGTCAAGGCTGCTATCATCAGGACATCAAGTCTCCATGCCTGGGAGTCAGGAGATCTGGGTTTAATTCTGGCTCTGCCTCCTGCACTGTGTACCCTTTGTCAACTTACTGCACAAAGTAAGTATGCAACAAATGTTAGCTTTCAGCACCATCATTGTTATAAATTGATTAGGAAAAGGTCCCCTATGCTGAGAGAGGTAGTCTACCACGGGCCCTGAGTGCCCTGCCCTTTCTTGCTGGGTATGCCCAACCATTGCGAGGCCCTGATGCTCTTTACCTGAACCGCTTCTCAGAGCTCAGAGTGTTTGCAGCAAACAACCTTGAGGAGTAAGGTTATGTCTCCCCCTGGACAAATATCAGGCTTGCCCCAAATCACTATAAAATACATAGAGTCCCTAAACCTGGTAGGCCCCCCGCCCCATCCCGTAATACAGTATACTACATGAGCAGGCACCTATCAAAGCCTGCCTGTGTCATCCTCATGGAACTTACTGACTTGGAAAAAGAATGCAAACCAACACAAAGCATGTGCCCTTTGCTATGCCAAGAGTAATAAACTGTCATTTGTCTTTGACCCAGGAGACTAATGTTTCCAGTAGAATTAACAATGGAGTAACAAGCTCTCTTGTCAGTTTGCAACTATGGAAAAGTCCCAGGCACTTCACAAAATCCTTACCTCCAATTCTTCACTTTGCTATGTATATATCCAAACCCTTTGCAATGTGATTTTTCAGCAACTTCATATAGGAAGTGGAGTCTATTACACTATCCTTTGTTTCCAAGCTGGCCTTGGACTTGCTTTGGCCAGTAGACTGTGGTGAAAATAAAGGGGTGATTATCCCAAAGCTAGACCTCAAGGAGCATTGCAGCTTCATCTCAGCCTCTTGGAAACCTGCCTCTGCCATGTGAGCAAGACTGAGATGCCTTCTAAAGGGAGACAATCACATGAAAGGAGGTCCAGTTGCCCCAGGTGAGGCCATCCCAGATCAGCCTGCAGCCAGCCAAGCCCCAAACATGTGAGAGGACTCAGCCCAGATCAGCTAAGCTTCCAATCAGACCCACAGCTGATAACAGATATGTGAGTGACCCCACCCACATCCAGAAGAACCAGCCACCTGACTCACAGACTTCTTGTCAATACTAAACCGTTGTTGTTTTGAAATGACCTGTTACTCCGGAATAACTGATACACAATATCCATCATCCTCATGATCCGTGTCTCAAGACTGGAAGGCTTCTGGGACGGAAACATACAAACTAACACCAAGCACTGTGTGCCAGGGTCATTACTCCATTACATCATCTTAACCATCCTGCAAGGCGGGGATCACATTATCCATTTACAGCCAAGGAAACTGAGGCTCAGAAGGGAAGCTAGATGTCCTCAAAGCCACCAAGAAGGGCCAGAATTCCTGCATTGATGTCTCAGTCCTTGTCACCACCGAGGCTCCAGCCAGGACTGAGTTCAAGAGACTCACGTGCATGACCTTCGCGCTGTCGTTGAAAATCTTCACATAGGACTTCAGGATGTTGAAGTGGAAGGCAGGTGTCAGCATGCGACGGTGTCTACTCCACTTGTCACCGGCACTCAGCAGGAGCCCATCCCCTAGCATAGACAGCCACGGGGAGTGAGCAAGGGCAGCCCCTTCCCCTGGGCCCCTGAGGTTGTCCTCAACCCATTTGACTCACAGTTACTCACCCAGCCAGGGCTTCAGAAACTCGTAGAAGAATGAGTCCTTGGGTGCGACAGCAGCTGACATGAATGAGGACCATCAGGGACCATGGAGAGGGGGAGGAGAGGGACTTTGAAGGAAGAGGGTAGAGGCTCCCGGCCAGGAGTCTGCATTCCCACTCCAAGCCCAGCATAGCAGGAATGTGGACATGAGCATAGGAAGCCGGGAGGAGGCGGCGAAGGACAGGGGACAGGCCAGGTTGCAACACAGAGCAGAGCAAATGCGGAGCCATAGACACAACCCTGTGTGCTAGACACCCCCAACATGACACAACCTGCCCCAGTGTGCCTTGACATGGCTCCTACATGGCCCAACATGTTCTAATCACCCAAGCATAGCCCAGCGCTCTACCAACACCTTTATGGGACCCAGGACATCACCTCTGCCCCAGCTCTCTGACACCTCTGAGACATCAGACAAGACTCCAAGGGTCAACACATGCTGACAAGGTCCCAACACACATGACACAACCTCACATGATACAACACGCTCTGGCATGGACCTGAAGACAGTGTGATGTCACCCAGAAAAACGTCAGCCAGGACCCAGACAGGACTTAAATACAGTCCACTAATGTCACAGACATGAGCCAGGCATAACCAAGACAGCCTAAGACCTGCATCGGACAAGACTCACATAAAGTCTCAGGCATTTGTCAAAGAGACCTTGAGTCCCAGACCTCAGACAAACCCCAAATGTGGCCCAAACATGACAAGCGGCAGAACCAGACAAACTCTGGTGGCATCTCACACAAGAACCAGACAGACCCCGACATGCCTCAAATGTCTTTGGCCACAGCCGAACCCCAGATGTGACTGAGACCATCTCTGTTTGAGCCCAGGTCTAACCAGATACAACATGCCCGCTGTAACCAGAATCCAGGTAGAAACGTAGACGTGACCAGACATGGCCATACAGCAGACGTCACACGGACATGGCCAGAGGTCGGGCAGGTGGGAGTCCAGGTGAGAGAGAGGCGGTGGCATCTCCGCCACAGCCCCTCTGTCTGCGCCCTGGTCTCCCGCCCAGCTGCAGGCAGCACAGGGACCAGGCAGCGGGCAAGCTGTGGCTGGGGGTGTCTACCTGGAGCAAAGAGCACAGGCTTGACGCAGGTGGGGTGGAAGATGCGGATGACCGCGTGCCAGGGCCCCACCCACCAGCAGCACACATCCCCATAGGTGCTGGCCAGGCCCTGTATGTACAGGAGACCTTCCTCCGAGCTCTGAATCTGGAGAGGAACAGAAAGGACTCAGTTCATACTCTTCAAGGCTGCCAGAGGGCAGGACTTGCAGGGCAGTGATCCAGACCTGAGCCCCCGAGTCCCCTCCAGCAGCTGGTCTTCTGTCCTCAGCCTCCTCCTGGGCTCCCTCCACACACCCTCCATACAAAACCACTGGGGTCCTTCGGTTACAGGGATAGAAAAGGTCTTTCCCTGTTTGGATCCGAAACACCATGTTCGCCTGACCTCTCTTCCATCCCCTATTCCAGATAAGGACACTGAGGCTCTAAGTGATGAAGTCACTTGCCCGCATGGGCGGTGGCACAGGCTACAGGTAGTTGTCCTCGGCTGCCTTGCTCCCCACCCGGGCAGCCCCAGCCCTCCTCATCCACGCCTGAGACATGAGCCCTGCTCTGTCTGAATCCAGGGCCCAAGTTCTTAACCATTGAACTACTCTGAGCCCCAGAATAATAGCTCTGAGGACCCTATGCCTGCCAAGACTGGGCACCCAGAGTCTCAGCAACTCAGGAATCAGTTCTATGACTCAAGTGAGGAAACGTTAAAGGAGATCCT